AACTAAACTGGTTTACTGGGTCTTGAAACTAGTAACAGCATAGAGTTATAGCACAAAAAATATTAGTCTGGCTCCTAGACAGAACTGGAAATAAACTGAAATCTTCAGAGAAGTCTTTTAAGAATACCAAAGGGAGACTCTCTGCTTCTCCCCATTGGACAAATAGCTGCATATTCTGGTGCAGTGCCAGTCACTTCCCGAGACACAATGGTAAAGTTTGGAGTAAATGGATTTGGCCGTATTGAGCACCATGTCGTCAGGGCTGCTTTTTATTCTGGCAAAGTGGATATTGTCACCATCAATGACCCCTTCAGTGATCTCAACTACATGGTCTGCATGTTCTAGTGTAATTCCACCCATGGCAAGTTCAATGGCACAGTCAAGGCTGAGAACGGGAAAATTGTCATTAGAGGAAAGCCCAACTCCACCTTCCAGGAGCGAGATCCTGCCAACATCAAATGGGGTGATGCTGGTGTTGAGTGTGTTGTGTAGTCCACTGTGGTCTTCAACACCATGGAGAAGGCTGGGGCTCACTTGAAGGGTGGGGCCAACAAGGTCATCATCTCTGCGCCTTCTGCTGATGCCTCCACATTTGTGATGGGCATGAACCATGAGAAGTATGACAACTCCCTCAAGGTTGTCAGCTATGTCTCCTGCACCACCAACTGCTTGGCCCTATGTTCAAGGTCATCCATGACAATGTTGGCATCATGGATGGACTTGTGACCACAGTCCATGCCATCACTGCCACCCAGAAGACCATGGTGGCCCCTCTGGGAAGTTCGAGGGGTTGCCCAGAGCATTATCCCTGTTTCTACTGACACCAAGGCTGTAGGCGAGGTCATTCCGAAGCTGAATGGAGAGCTCACTGGCATGGCCTCTGTGTCTCCACCTCAACCTGTCAGTGGTGGATCTGACCTGCTTCCTGGAGAAAGCTGCCATGTACAGTGATATCAAGCAGGCATCAGAGAGTCCCCTTGGGGGGCACACTGGGCTCCACTGAGGACCAGGTTGTCTCCTGTGACTTCAACACGTGACCCCTACTCTTCTACATTCAGTGCTGGGGCTGGCATTGTTCTCAACAACCACTAGGTCAAGCTCGTTTCCCAGTATGACAATTAATTTGGCTACAGCAACCGGGTGGTGGACCTTCTAGTCCACATGGCCTCCAAGGAGTAATAGCCCCCTGGACCACCAGCCCCAGTGAAAGCAAGAGGAGGAGAGAGGCCTTCTGCTGCTGGGGAGACCTCACCCCCACTCATCCCCTAACACGCTGAGAATCTCCCAACCTCTACTACACAGTTTCCATCCCAGACCCCCTGAAGAAGGGGAGGGACTCGGAGAGCCCTACCTTGTCATGTACCATCAATAGGGTATACTGTACCCAGACCAAAAAAACAAAACAAAACAAAACAAAAAACCAAAAGGAGAATACAAATGTAACACCAAGAAAACTTTAAAAAATTTGTTCTCTCTTTACTTCCTATCTAATGCCATCTAACACATGGAGCTGCTCTTTTCTTCCATTTATCACCCCAGCTCTTCTCTACCCCAAGTTCTTCAAAGCCAGCTCACAGAGAGCTGAATCCTTCTCCTCCACACCAACCATCTAAACTTTCCTGGATTTTCTGATAACTCTTTGTCATTATGTTTCTGTTAATTTCCCCTTGCTGGCTTTCCCAATTCTGTACTTCACCATGACCCCATTCAACACAAAAATCTCCCCAGTAGCAAACATTCAATGGAAATTAACTTAGAATGAGGTGGGGACGGGGAAGGGGATTCAGGACACCCACACCTACAGTTATGTGTGTTTATTAAACAGATGACCAAATAATTCTCATTAGCTAAGAAAATCTAAACACTTTCAAGCCCTGTGGGTCTCTAAATGTTTAAAGGTCTTCCTTTTATTGCTTTTCATAATATATCGAAAAATCATATGAATTAATTTTTATATAATTGTACACAATTTTCAAATTTCAAAAGTTTGAAACCTGCTGCTCCACACTTTACCTGGGGATGCGGCTTAATGCCCTCTGCGGGGGTCAGGAAAATGCTTCAGTGCCATCTGCTGGTTCCTAGAGCTATATCAGGCACTTAACTCTAATTGCTTGCCAAATTTTCTTTTTTTTCAATTCCCTGCTCCCCATGACTGCATTTCAAAATAACCAGAAAGATAATTGCCATTCCTGGTGACAGGACCACTGTGTTCAAATTCATAATAATGTAAATGACTCTGACTAGGACATAATATGAAGAACAAACGTTTAACTTCTCAGTTCATTGAATTAATCATGTATTTGTTGCCACTTGACTAAGGTGTAGGTTTCACATGCTGAATTGACATTGCTCATTGCATACATCTTATTTCATTTCTCACCAGTGGATATATTTTCAGATAGATAGTGTCCCATCAGTTGTGATATATGATGCAAATAATGTACAAACAAAAATTTTGGAAGTATCTGAGTAATTTACTTTTATTTCAGTTAGAATATTTCTAAGTCATTCCTGTAACAATACTTTCATTCACTTATATTCTGATATACATTTCTTGAACAGGAAAGAGATACAGACAGATACAGTTTACACATATATACATTCATTCACTCATTTGTTCCGCCAATAAATATTTGCTGTCAACCACATCTCAGGCATGTTACTTCACCCCAGGATTTAGTAGTAAGCATGAGAAAGCCCTGATTTCAACACCACCCTTGGACCGGGTTAAGGTCTGCACCCTACATTTCACAAATGCATAAAAAATTTGTTTAAAAATGTGGGAGGCTGTCCCTCAAAATCCGCTTTTTAGCACTGCTGTAGCATAACCTGTGAGCCTGAACATCCAGTCTCTGATTTGTGTTAAGCATCAGGGAAACGGGTCTGTTGTCCTGTGTCCTCAACTAAAAGAAAACTCTGTTTGAGTACACTGAAGGTTTATGAGTTGTACTGCTTCCCGACACTGTGTCAGAGCATAAAGAAGATTTGTATGTAAAAGGGCTTAGGTATGAAAAAAAAACAAAGTAATTAACTTGTCACATTCTTCCTTTCAGATTGCATGAACATATTCTGCGTAATGAAGTGTTATTTCTAAGTAGTTCCGAACGTACTTTCTTGTTTCCTTTTGTTTTCCAATTTGAGTCTGGATGTACTCATGAACCAGCAAAGTATTCTCAACAATTGGATATGGCAGCTGATGACTGTTTACAGTATTAAACAATTCATATGACTCTTAAATTTGAAAATAGGTAGGTAGAGATGTAACACCAGTGAAGGGTAATACTGATTCTATACACTGGCAACTAGATGGACATTGAATGACAAACTTGTGAATAATTTATTTCTTATGAAAAAAAATTATTTATTTATTTATTTGAGAGAGAGAGAGAGAGAGAGAGAGAGAGCATGAGCAGGGGAAGGGACAGAGGGAGAGAGAAAGGGACAAGTAGACTCCCTACTGAGCAGGGAGCCCAAGGTGGGGCTCCATCCCAGGACCCTGAGATCAGCTCCTGAGCTGAAGTCGGGCACTTAACTGACTGAGCCACCCAGGTGCCACTTGTGAAAATATTTAGTAAGGTAATAATATTTACGAAAAAATTAACAACTTCAGCTTTATTTAATTTTATTTAAAATTTTGTCATTAATTATAATCTATTTTGTCTTCTTAAAAGAGAGATAACTGTTGGGGTGCCTGGGTGGCTCAGTTGATTAAGCATCTGCCTTTGGCTCAGGTCATGATCCCAGGGTCCCGGGATTGAGCGCCTTGTTGGGGCTCCTCAACCAGGAGCCTGCTTCTACCTCTATGTCTGCCACTCCCTCTGCTTGTGCTCTCCCTCATGTGCGCTCTCCCTCTCAAATAAATAAATAAAATCTTAAAAAAAAAAGATAGCTGTTGAAAACAAGTGAAAAATAAAATGTACTGACTTTTTACTTTTTATATTTTTATGAAAATATATTCATTTTGCATACTTTGAATATAATTAAATTTTATTTTTTAATCTTTTTGATAATTTTTGTCAATAGAACACAATTTATGAAAATCTGGCTGAAACAACATGATTGGTAATTTTGCTGAAATGAAGGCAAAATTTTATGGCATAAATATAGGGGGAATGAATTAGCTCTATATGTCTTTATTACTCAACCAAAATCATCAGCCAATCAACATTACACCCACATAGGTACAATAATTAAGTACTGTCATCTTTTATATTTTGCCATCTTTCATTCATAAAACACAAAAACATTTTTATTTTGTCATTATAAATGTTTACTTGTCAAAAATGGAGGTTATAATAGTTAACAGTAGAGGAGGAGGAGTTAACAGTGTGTTAGGTTGACTTAAAACTTTTAAATATCTAGGGGATGCCTGGGTGGCTCAGTCAGTTGAGTGTCTGCCTTTGGCTCAGGTCATGATCCCAAGGTCCTGGGATCTGGCCGCAGGCCGGGCTTCTTACTCAGCAGGGGAGTCAGCTTCTCCCTCTCCCGCTGCCTCCCTCTTCCTCTGTCTGCCGCTCCCCCTGCTTGTGCTCTCTCTGTCAAATAAATAAAATCGTTTTAAAAAAATAAATATTTAGACCAACGGTAGGTGAGTCTCTATTTGCACACTGCTCAGCTGCCATGATCTTAGGGGCAGACTTCATGTCAGCCTATGTGAAGACAGTATTCAAGAGAGGGGACACAAGAAATAAAAGGCAAGCAAATCAGATTGTTTCAGGTAGTCAAAAATGTTGTGAAGAAAATACAAGCTTGGTGTATTTCATGGATAGAAAGATGCTCTGCTGTGACCGGAGTGGAGTAAATGTCAGGATCAGTCCTATCTGGGGTGATCTCCGTTTTGTCAAGACTTCTCATTCTGGTCTCTGCCTAAATGTTCCCTCCTCAGAGAGTCCTTTTCCAACCACTCAAACTAATGATGCCTTTTCTTGGTCACCCCTATCACATGGCTCTGTAGCAGTGTCATTAGAGTACTTATCACATTACTTGATGCTTTTCTGGTTTATCTATTTGCTTACTGTTCGTTTCTTCCTGGTGGAATGTAGGTTCCGTAAGAGTAGAAAGCCCAGCTGTCCTGTTCACCACTATATGCCTAGCCTGGTTTAAAGTACACATGGAATGAACCAAAGTATCAATACTGAGGATTAAAAGGGGTAGGGTGAAGGAGGGAGAATATCCTTTAAAAAACAACTTACTCGTTCAAATCACTCTTAGAAACTGTGGGGTGGAGGTTGAGTCCTTGCCTTGAATAGTTATTGAATTGAGGAACAGAATTCATCACTCTACTGTAATGGCATCTCGCATCAGATGAAAGAGCACCTGGTTAAAAGGCCATCTCTGAAAACCATGTTTATCCTTGCATCAAGAAAAATGCATCAGCTATAGCTAAAGTTATGGATTTAATGAATGTAAAGTAGCAAAAGCCATGCATGAAAAGGACTTTTAGACAACTGATATTTTAAATTCAAATAACAACTTAGAAAGTAAGTTTGCTCTGGTTCTCAACTGAATAATCAAACCAGGAGATAGGCATATAACAGTAAAATCAAGGAGGAGATAATCAGAAAACAATCAGGAATATATCCAAAGAATTCTTTTAAAATGGAGAAAAAGATATAATTCGAGATCATGGTATATTTTTTAAATAAACCCTTTTTAAAATACATATATATATATTTATTTATGAATCTCTGACTCATTTTCTTTCCTAGTTTACTTCCAAAATAAAACTCAACATGGCACTGTATACCATTGGAACTGACATGGAAAGGCATAAAAGATTTCAAAACAGAGCAAGCAAGCCTAGCTAAGCCTAGCTCTTTTAAATAGGGTGGAGAGGCTGTAAAGGAGGAAAAATTTGTGCATATCCTCATTGGAGGAACCATGAACTTTTTGCCAGCTGCAAGGCCTCAGCCTGGATTTAATTCCTTCATCATCAGGACACCTGAATCTTTCAAATTCTTCACTTTGAAAGGAGGCAACTTGAATTAACAAGTTTCAATCCTTCATTTATCTACTAACCCAACCAATCCCAATTAACAGACTTTCAATTCCTATTTTGCTTAGAGGACCTAAATGAGAACTGCACTCATGACCTTTCACCTTTACATCTCTGTCCCCTCCTTGTCTTCCGCGGAGCACAATTCAAGTTCCTATCTGAATCTGTCTCCCGAATAGCCATTCTCATTGCCCAAATAAATACCTGTTTGCTCGAAATCTCAGTGAATTCTTTCTTGGTTGACAAAGTTGAACCAAACTCCTGTAGCACTTTTTATTTTCATTTTTAAAAGCTTTAAAAAATATATTCAGGATTTTTTAAGTGAAAAAGCAAACTTGTCTTGTGGATCAAATGGTACCGATTTTTCATTTCTTACTACTTTAACTTCTCCCTAAGCTGATTGCTTTTGTAAAGGCAAAATTCCCTTTGACACATTAGGACAAAACAATTTCTTTAAGAGATCCGTTTGTGTGGGTAAAGTAGATACCATCAGAACTTAAAAAATCCTGTTATTCTCGTAAGGCAATTAACACTACATGAAAAAGGAGATTAATAACTATCTGTAGGAATAACTGAAGAGATTTTTGGGTTGTTCTGAATGCTGTTAAACAAGAACAAAAGACTGTGTTAGTAAAAAGCGGAGGATATGCATTGAGTACAGAAGCAGAGAGCCTTCAGATTTGTAACTGTTTCCAACAATCTTCAGGGAAGAGGGTTATTGAAAGACTAACACCCTGGTACCGAAAAGTTCCATCTTTTGAGAGAAATGAATGCATCCAGAAAAGGTACAGGATATCCATTCACCCCTGCACCCTGTATAGCTTCTTGGAGAGACGCTCCCAATTATAGCACATACCACACTGCTTTGGAAACAGACGGTGGTATATCCATCTGGAAGACTCTTCAGCAACATTAATCTTTAATGATGCCAAGACCCAGCTGTTGCCTGGGGCCTGGAGTGGGAGTGGGTATCACAGCACACGGGCAAGAGGGAACTTTTAGGGGTGATGGAAACTGTGTCTTGACTGGGGAGATGTTACATCTTCATCTGTTAAAACTCGTAGAACTGTTGAACTGAGGTGGTTAATTCGGTTTGTAAGTTGTATCTCAACAGGGTTAACTTTAAAAGAAGAAAATATTCAGTATGTGCTCTCCAGGAATGCAAAAGTGGTGACAAGAAGGTCCCCAAGCTCCAGGGCCGTGGTACCCAGGATTTACAGAGCGGCTCACACTGCGCGATCAGCAGCTTATCTTATGAAATCCTCCGCCTTTCCCCACTTTATAAAGAAGGTAACAAACTCAGAGAGATGAAATAATTCGGTGGAGCTCACACAGCGCAGGGGCGCTAGCGCCGGGCTTTGAGCCCAGCCAACGTGATTTCACAGCTCACATTTTTTTAACCCCTGGCGAATCTGCTGCTACGTAGTAAAAGCCTGGATAAATGTTATGTCTAATAAATGGTTCCAGTTACAGATCCTTAATGCTCACAAAAGACTCGCCCTGAGACTGAACCGTTCAGGCGCAACCCGCACGGTGCGGACGGGTAGCCCCCAGCGGAGGAGCCCAACGGAACACAGAACCAGAGCCTGAGCCGGAAGTCTGGCACGGCGAAGGGGTGGGGCTTCGATGCAGGGAGGTGGAGTCATCTCATCGCGTTTCTGACAAGCTTGTACCTCTTCTCTTGCCGTAGTGCCTGAAACCGGAAGCTCTCCTGAAGCGTGCTATGAATTTCCGGGCGAGAGCCGGCGGCTTGGGTAGCATGTGGGAACTGCTGTGAAGACCTGTTACTCTTGTACGCGCCTCCCGAGGTCAAGTTCCCGGTGAGCAGGAGCTGTAGGGGAGTAGACGATATACGAAGGGAGGGTGAGGTGTCCGCGGGTTTTCGAGTGTCGCGGAGTCAGGACTGAAGAAAGCCGTGGTGCGCGGCCCCAGGAGCTTTACTTAGTTAACGCCGTTGCTGTGGTGTCGGCACCCTGGAGTCCGTGAGTCACGGAGCCGCCGGTTGTGTGTCCGGGACGGCCCCGAGTGCGAGGGAAGTTACTTACATGTGAGGCATTAGGGGCTTGTAGTTAAGTCACTTGGTAGTTTCCTGGAGGCTTCTCACAGTGGTTTTGTTTTCCCAGCCTGTGTTTTTAGGAATCTGCCGGCGTGAGCGATGACGTCCTTAGCCCAGCAACTCCAACGACTCGCCCTCCCTCAGAGTGACCGCAGTTTGTTATCGAGAGATGAAGTTGCTTCTTTGTTGTTTGACCCCAAGGAAGCGGCCACCATCGACAGGGACACGGCCTTTGCCATTGGTGAGCTATCCGTTAACTAAGGAAAGCTCTGAGGCGTTTGTTTTGTGGATGTTGGTGTATCGTCTTCTCTTCTGACCCTCCCTCTTTCTTAGCAGTTTCTAACTTGTTGACTTATGTTGTTCAGGGATAGAGAGTAACAAATAATCATGTGCTAGATGCTTGAAACGTACGTAGGTAGCGGTATCTGAATTTCACAGATGAAGAAACAGGGTTAGGGAGGTTAACGAATGGGTAGAGCGAAGAACAGCTCAAAAAAGGCTGGAGGCAGTGACTGCGATGCAGGGGGGTTGTCCTCCTAATCCCTAGGAGGACTGGCCTAGTTACTGAAAGGGTGTTTGTTTGTTTTTAAAGGAATGGCGTCTGCCCAGCAGAACTTTATGTTCCCAGTGAGGGAGATAGGACTTATTTTTTATGTTGAAAACTAGAAATCTGTATTTGGGACTGTATTACGATTATACCTAATAAAAGAATACAGAGATTTGGGGGGTAAGCAAACCTATATAAAAGAGGGGTGAGATGAGTTTGCTTGCAAAGCATTGTTAAATCAGCTGGCCTTTTCCTAGGATGCACTGGCCTGGAAGAGCTGCTGGGGATCGACCCTTCCTTGGAGCAGTTTGAAGCACCGTTGTTCAGCCAGCTAGCAAAAACATTGGAGCGCAGCGTTCAGACCAAAGCCGTGAACAAGCAGCTGGATGAAAACATTTCATTATTCCTTATTCACTTGTCTCCTTACTTCCTACTGAAGCCAGCACAGAAGTGCCTGGAGTGGTTGATTCACAGGTAGCAAATAAAATTACAGAAATAATTATGGGCTAATAGCTTTGATCTTTAAAAAAATAAGTAATGAGAGCACTTAAACCAATTTAAAGGTGAGAAATTAGGTATATTAAGAGATTAACACCATGTCTTTTGGGTGAGATAGGCATGTCCCCCTGTTAAATTCACTTTTGTTGATAGAACTAGAACTCCTAGAGATCTTGAGTTTATAGGCCAACTTCAGGGGCGCCTGGGTGGCTTAGTCGGTTGAGCGTCTGCCTTCAGCTCGGGTCATGATCCCAGGGTCCTGGGATTGAGCCCCAAATCAGGCTCCCTGTTCCACGGGTAGCCTGCTTCTCTCTCTCCCTCTGCCTGCCACTCTGCCTGCTTGTGCTCTTTGAAAAAAAGGCCAACCTCATTAGTTCTAAGGAGCTCATTACTTTGCTGTTACAAAAAAAAAAAAAAAATTGTTACTACATATATGGAGCAAAGGGTATTCTTAAACTTCTTTCTTTCCGAAATAACAAAACCAATGCTTTGGGAAGAGGCAAATAGTATCCTCTAAAATACTGTAACTTAAGAAAAACAATAATAGCTAATGTGTATTGAACATTTTTGTGCCAGCTTCTGTGGTAAGCACTTTGCATGCACTCAGTGCTTACAGCATTCCTATGGGAAGATAGTTGTATTCTCCCCATTTTACAGTATACAAAATTGAGGCATAGTTAAGTTACCTGAGTCACACAAGTAGTAAGCTGAGGTACAAGATGGTTTCCAAGGTTTGCTCTTTTATCCTCTTTGGAAATTGTGTTAGTACGTATACTCGTATACTCAGTTTATATTCTCACTTAATTGCCATCGCATCACAGCTTACACAGTTTTGTTTATTCTGCCATGTGTTAATATGTTTCAAAAGTAGAAAGACCTACATGTCATTAATTAGAGACATGGGGATAAAGTGATTCCCTTCTGGAACAAAGTGAGTCGTTGAGAAAACATAAGTTTAACTTGGGTCTTCTGAGTATCAGAACATTAGACTCATCGGACAAAAAAAAAAACAAACCAGTAAGTCTGTAATAGTTCCCTTTTTCTTCTAGCTTTTAACCCCCCCACTCCCCCCCATAGATGATTAGTGTAAGGAGTACTTTTTGTATTCATGTAATTTTAAATTCAATACAAGATGAGTAGGCCGCCCTTGGTTATTGTTTTAAAATAAAGGTGTATGCAAAGTTTGAGGTGTGTTGTGCTGCCTGAGGTAGAGGGAAGCTTCATGGAGAAAGTAGCATCTTGGCTAGTAAGTTTAGAGTTTAGACATGAGGGATCACTCCATTGTGAGAATTAGGAAAAGCATTCTGAAAAAGATATTTGAGCTAGGTCTTCAGAGCTAGAAAGGATTTAATGTATCTGATGTAATTAATGAACCTCTTATGGTAGAGGAGCCAACACAAAGTTTTGTGAAGTTCAGGGACAAATTATAAATGGTTGTATTTTAACAGTTTTTTTAATTCAAAGAAGGTAATGTGACTTTCTTTTTCATTAGTCTTCTGGTTTTAGAATTCTGATAATTAGGGAAGCTGAGGAAGCTGTGCAAGGTGAACTTTGGAGCATGGAGAGGAGCTGAGCTTTGCTGCCTAGTTGACCGGTTGCTTTTCTGTTGGTTTGACTGCAGTGATCGTACAGTTTAATTAACTTAATAATAGGTTTAAAAAAAAAAAAAGCTGAATGTGAATGGTGTGTGAATTTTGATATTGAATATTAAAAAATATTACTGCCTAAGAGTTGACCAAATCTTGCAAGATAGAGACGTATATTTAATGCTCTTTATCTTGCTTATAATTATGTGCTTGTTTTCACTGATACTTATTCTGAGTAGTTTTAGCTCATTGACATACAGTTTGGACATGTAAGGAAATATGTGCTCGTAGGTTTTGTGTCAGTTTGAATTGTTTGCTTTTCTCCCCCCAGGTTCCATATCCATCTTTATAATCAAGATAGCCTCATTGCTTGTGTTCTACCGTACCATGAGACAAGAATATTTGTACGGGTTATACAGCTCCTAAAAATTAATAATCCAAAACACAAATGGTTTTGGTTGTCACCAGTTAAGGTATGATTGTTGAATGACACGTATTTTACTGAATATTGAGCATGGCAGTTCAGGTTAGTAGGAGGACAAATGGGGACAAAAGTAGACTAATAGACTGTAGGACCATGGAAAGAGTTAACTTTATGCATGATGATAGTGAGGTCAGTGATCAGAATTAGTAAAAAGAAAGGAAGTACAGTTTAAGAGTTTGAGTGTAAAGCACTTTAAAGGGTTTTTAAGAAGAGAAAGCCAACCATGATAAAGCTTATCAAATTACTCCCTCTGCTAATAACCATCAAGACCATTTTTTTTCCCTACTCTACACACAGACACTGATGCTCTCTAGACACACTTGTTTCAGGTATGCAAACCCCACTGACCTATTGAA